TCATAATTTAGATACGTTTATTTAAGTTGGAGTGATGCATCTTTCCTTGTTTTCGACCTTTCTCCTTGGTTTTTGAGGATCTTTGTTTTTTTTTTTTTTTTTTTTTTTTTTTGTTCCTTTTTCCATCCAGCTCCTCAGATGTCTCCGCTATGGTGACGCATCTCATCATTAGACGATCTTTGGTGTCCTTTTTCTGTCGCTGACTGAAAATAGATCCAGCTGGGTTTTTCGGCTCGGCTCGGCTCGGCTCGGTTCCGTCCGTTCTGTTCTGTTCCTCCGGTTTCAGCCCAGAGTACCGGACAGGATCTAGCTGAAGGATTCACCTCCGTGTTCCGGGACTCTGGTTTTGGTCCAAACTAAACCAGCAGGTTTTAAATCGTGGTTTTGTCTGCGGAGGAAGGATGTCTGTCGCGGGCTTGAAGAAGCAGTTCCATAAAGCCACCCAGGTAAGAACAACAAACATTTAGCTTCATTTGTTGAATCCTTTTGTTTGTCTCTGGTCTCTTAGAGTCTAATTTAATCATATTTAAGCTTTAAATGTATCTAATATTAATAAAAAACATAGGTGGTTTCAGGTAAACATGGTGTTTCCTGTTGCTTTTTACATTAAAACGTCTTTATTTGTACAAAATGTTGCTTTTAATCATATAAATTTGTCACAACAAAGCTTGAGGTTGTATTTCAGCATAATGRTGTAGATATTTATGGATTCTGTTTGTTTTGTCACGTTTGAAACATTGTTTATCTTAATTAACGGTTCGATGTTCCGGTTTTTTCTCGCGATGTTTGTTGTTGAAATGAGAGTGAAGCTCTGTGATGTTTCACATGGAGGTTATGTAACAGTTCATGAGCTGGAAGTGTGCACAGCTGATTGGCTGCTGCTTCCAGCAACAGGGAATTCCCTCCATCATCCCTCCACCTTCATCCTTTCATCTTCATCCTTTCATCTTCTTTCTCTCTGCAGAAATCCCCCCATCTTCGATCTGTCCAAACTTTCTTCTTCTTTTAACGGTCCCTTCATCCCTCTTGTCTTTATCCATCATTACGTCCTGAAGAAAGGCACATGAGTCCCACATCTTTAAACGATGTTCTGTAAAATGTGTTAAATTATTCCAGTTTGATCTGTGGGCATGACTCTCAGCTGCTACATTTTAGCTTGTTTTCTGTGAAATTCTTCAAGGTTGAGTAGTTTTAGGTTCAGGTGGGGCGAGCGTCTTGACTCCAGAAACGAGTCAGGTTTAAATAATTTTTTAAAGTTGATCCAGTGGTTTCTGGGATATTTTGCTAACACACAAATGTAAATGTTTGGCTCATATTTCTAACGTTAGTGGAGATTTAATCTGAGTTTTCATCAACAGTGTCTTTCTCTTAGCTCAAGAGAGCAATAAATTTATAAAACATATAAGGCGGTGACTATTTAAAAAGCACATAAAAAAGTTAATTTCCTTCATTTGTTGTTTTCCTGTTTTTAAAGTGATCCATGATTAGTTGTAACATTAGACTTTATTTAATAAACATTTATTTTAACTGTAAAATAAAGACTGTAAAAATACTGTAGGCTG